ATATAATACATAATTTACAGCAATGGCCATGCTACGCCCACAATAATTAAGATTTTATAATACTGGAATTGATTCACGTGCATTTTTCATAGGCTGCTTGCATAACATTACTCGTCTTGCCTCAGCTGACTCACTGGTGTATCACAACTCTCAGAGGTCATGCTCCGTAATGGTCCTTGGTAGGAGATCAGAGCACAAAGTTGTTAGGCGTTGAGCTGTGTGTAGGCGTTTGTCTTGATTTCCTACTGCATCATAACCTGGACATGTGTCAAAATGCAGCCATTTACAGTTCGAAATTTGCACCCCGCAGAAACCCGACAAGTCGCGCCCCCCGTCCGGTAACTGGACTGTGACTCAGTACATGGTCAGCTGTAAACGGGCTGGCGGGAAAACAAATACTTGTCTAGCCTGTAATAATTCCAAGAAAGCATCAGTCACATCACGCCGCACTGAAAACAGCAATATGACCTTCTACCACAAATGTGAAAAAGAGTTCGTGTTTTCCTCCCTAGTGGTTGTTAATGCATTTAAACAATACGGTTCCGTTATATAGTAATGCCTTTGCAGAGCGACGGCTAATTGATGCACAGGAAGTGACGTCACCATGAGGACAGGCTGACCAGAGCAGATGTGACGAGGAACACGAAGATCATGGCAACAGAGAGCAACGATCGTCCACTAAAGACTCACGAATCAAACTGATCGGATAGCTGGATCCTACCATTAGACGGCAGTTCAACGTGCAGGAAATTCTGACAATCGGCGAGAGTCTCGCCGGTAAACTAGAGAACGTAGCTCGGATGACCTCAAAATTTGGTAGCTAACGTGTGAAATGCGTACGAATGCTTTTGTAGCTGTAGAGATAGCTCAGCTGCTGCGACTTTATTGTCAATGGCTCAGGTAAACAGAGGTCAAAAAAGTTAACGCCCGTCTCCCACAAAATACAAACGGTCTGATGTGTGTCCTAACCATCGCCTGATTCACCGCTTTTCATAACACGAACTAATAGAGTGGGAGGGGTGTGATGGGACCTTCAGCTCCTTATGTTTCAAAACAACGGAGATACAGCTTAGCGGAAAACACCAGTGGATCAGTCTCAATTGGCTCGCGCGATTGGTACTAGCTTTCATGCCATTATTTTAATAATTGACCCCACTATGGCAGGTCAAACGTCGAATTCTCCAGAAAAACACACCTTGTTAGATTTACATCCTACGCACGAGACCATGCCTTTTGGAAACATGAAACTTAAGCAGGCGTGCTCCTTGTTTAATTTTGAGTAAAGGGGTATGCTTGTATGCGCTGTGAAGGCATATTTTTGGTGCATAACTCTATTAATTTAACAGTTGTCAGCCCGCCGTGCGCGTTCCGCGGCATCAACGGTTGCCGCCCGCCGCCTACGCCGGCTGTTGATCGCCCTGCGGTATTCTTCAAAACCGTCATTGCTCCGAAACTAGAAAGTCTAGAAACACGTTTCTAGTGTCAAAACGCGTGCAATAGATGTCCCATAGGGTACCAAAAATTTGGGTGCAATTGCAGCGCATGCCGGAGAGACGTCCTCAAAAATCTCAGGGGGCTGGATCACTCACTTCTATCAGGGTATCAGGTCAGGTTTTAAGTGATTTGCAGCCAGAAGAAAGAAACCAGATCTAAAATATGCAGCTTGTTGATTTTTACCTTGAAGTACGCGCTGCCTACTATTAACTTTTGGGAGATTAAATTAGATTTCCTTCTTGCCAGCCAATAAGCCTATGATAGTAACTACCGAAAAAGAGGAATGGTTTCGAGGATTTTTTATTATTCATGCCAACGAAACAGCGATTTTGATAGACCACCTGTATCGTGATGTTACTGGCGTGCGCCTGAGACCGCCCCCTGCTCGCGTCGCCATTGCTGCTGTACCTCGGTACGCCGCTGCCCCGACCGGCGGTGTACTGCATGGGGCGCCGCCCGCCGGGGTCGGCGCCGCCTGCTCGCCTGGCGTGTTAAGACAGTTACCGTCTCGCAGCGCTCGTGTCTGGTTTCAATGACCGTAGTCTGACTGAAGGGAGCGCGAGCAGATAGGACACGTAAGACTTGAATACCACCCCTTGCCTTGTATACACAATCTTCTCGTAACATATTGATATTAAATGATCTAAGTGTCCATATTGTCGAAAAGAATTTGTGCCTGGTTGAAGTAATGCATCACTTCCATGGATCAAGACGCCATGTAACCAAACATCATATGGCTTGCTTTTTTATGGGGCACCGACTCAGTCTTCCTAATGGAGATGGCTTTCAAGAAATCAACCAGCCTACAAGCTATGGAAAATATATCAGCAAGACATTAATCCCAAAGGCATCCTGAATCTTACACAAAATGAGGTAGGTCCTATCCCCAACTTGGAGTTTCTGCATTACCAAGCGTGATCCCACATATGATTTTATGACACCAATTTTGAACACTTGAAACTACATTTACAGAATTTCCGCAAGCTAAAACACACAAATAATTCTGAAATTAGCATGCGTTGTTCACCTTTTCAGAACATTTATCAAAAACATTTCAAATATGCGCACTTGAATATAATATGCATATATTGGAAGGCACCCAAGACTTAAACAGCTCTAGATTTCTGGTAGCAGCTCTCACCTATGGCAAAGCATGACAGAGATATCAATAGGATGCATCAGTCAGCCAGAATATTGCCCCAAAGCAGCATTCCCTCGCTTCATTTATGGCACTTCTTGCCAGCAAGTGCAAAATATGCAGGCTTCTACTGACAACTCTCACTACTCACACACCGAACGTTACATTCAAATTTACCTACACTTACCAGCTCCTCACAATCCCTATAGCAAAATACACATCGAGACATTAGCCCAGATGATTTACAATAGTTAACGCCGTAACGGCACAATTGAAGGGAGTGTTTCACATTTATATCGGGTTTTCAATTAGAAAGCCATCTCGAAGACCTTTCGTCCGGCTCACAATCCTGCCCTTCTCAAGACTTAAGCTCCTCCAGTTTCTGAGCTACTCGCCCGCGAAAATGGGAAAGGTATATCAGGGAGAGTATTTTAACTTCACCTTGACATTAATGACGTTATAATCACATCATTAAAATCCTGCCATTTTATCAATTATGCGGTGATTAAGGCTGAGAAAATGTAATTGTAAATGGGTTCATATCTGGTGCTCGTGAGCACGATTCCCGGGTATAAAGGCCGCTAATTGGCTCTCAATGTTCCGAAAGGTACGATAACGTAATCAAACTATGACGCTCTGAAGAACATATTTGTAAAGAGAGAGTTGTGCTGTCCAGTTTGCTTGTTACATCATATCTGATGCTTGCTTGATATCTTCGAATGTAAAACATTCCCTTTAGTGCAAACCGCGCTGCTTTGACAAGTCATGCACAACGATAATAATGGCGTCATTAGTTTTTGAATCTCCATTTCTGCATCGCATCTTTTTTGTCAATGACAAAACATTGAATTACTTATTTGATTCCTCCAGTAAACAAAGCTGATGCACAAATACAGCTTGAGGGCTATGTAGCAACGTGTAAGGCCTATTGTGAGTTTATGTCTTCGGTGAGCAGTTCATTCTTCACGCTGAGGAGACAGCGCAGTAAGGGCGAAAAGCATATTGAAAACTGAGTATAAAGACCCTTCAGTAAACTGGGAGACAGCGGAGTGTGCCCAAAAGTTTTCACGAGTTGTCTACACACAGGCAGTGCTGGAAAAGGTTCAGGCCACTGAAACATATTTTCCCCTTTCGGCGCTGTAATGCGCTCAATTGCATCACAATGGGCATCTCGTGAAGAAATGGAATGGGAAGAGTTTTGAACAATGAGAGCGTTTCAGTCTCTTTCATGAAAGCATTTAATATTCTCTCATGCCATTGTGAAGCAAGCTCCTGTGGCAAGGGGTGTCGCGTGGAGTGTCTGCAGAGCTTCAACTCTGCAGATCAAAGCCAAGCGTTGGTTCTCGCGCAGTTTTACGCAAAATGTTTGTGTTATAGTTTGTATCTATCATGACTAATGGAATGATGCCAAATCAATAAACCAACGAAACAGATAGCGACATACAGGTTAACTTCTTCAAAACGCTCGGTTAACGCTCGATTAGTTCGACATTTGATTCCAGTCCAACGGAATAAGCTGCTTCCCGCTCCCCAAATATAGTAAAGACTGCTACATTATTGGGGCTTGGTTTCATTTGGATCACTGCTCCTTCGACCGTCAGTGACCGTTGAGACAGAGTACATGAAATGAGGGAGGCTATATAATGGGGGTCATAACTACATGCCCCATCGTATCCCTGTACCATAATTTAGCCGCACGGAGACTCTCCCCAGGATTATGTAAGCTTGGATCGGGCCAAGCTCACGCCTTGTTATTTGTTCCGTATGGGATGAGGCGTTAAAGTCTCACGAAAGCTGCCATTTTTGGGCCGCCGTTGTGTTTAAAAGTGTCTTTAGCGTATTCATGCACGCCCCATGAAAAACACAGAATAACACAGTAACGAATGCGGGGTGACACAACCCGCGCACGAGACACTGGAAGTTGACAGCTTCGCCATCTTACAAAAGTAGGCGAAGTCTTATTTCAGTAGCGACCACCAGGTTTCCAGGCCACGCTAGAGTGGTACCGTACCTCGTGACGTAATAGGTCAAACGCCCCTCGCTCACTGGTGGCGCTTCCAAGGTCCGCTCTGCCCGCTAGTCACCGAATCGTTCACCCATGTGGACGCACGGCTGTACGGACTGCCAGCATCAGCAGCTCACTGTGTCGTCAGCCCGCGCTGGCTGTTGTTCGCCCCTGGCCGGCGCGGGGCGCCGACGGCATCCGTCCAGCGGCCGGGCGATGAGGCGCCGGGGTCGGCGGGCAGAGCGGACCCGGCCGCCGGCCGCGGCACGGCTGACTGCCACCAGGCTTCTGCAGCTGAGAGTCAGCTGAGCCGGTCCCCAGCCGCCGGAATACACCCCTGCTGGACGCAGAGTCCAGGGCCCGGCGCCGTCGCCGTCCGAAGTGGCTCAACGCGATCAGGTGTGTAGCTGTGCCGCGTGTTTGATTGCGGTTTGCAACATGCCGTTTTTTAGAGTGAAGTGTTTGCTGCTTGTTTCGATGACATTGCAACCGTTGCTTTTTGGTGTATTAGCAGGCATGACTGGTCTACTTTGGAACTGTCGCACAATCCGTTCTCGTTTGTGACCAGGTAAACATACATACAGTCATGATGGCAGTGTTCATGATTCGTATTATCATGAGAGTTCAGAGATGATGCACTTTGCTCACTCAAGCGGCGGCCGTCGTAGGTGTGGGCCGGTGGAGCTTATCTAGCATACGATAGGTACCCACATGTTGAGCCGGATTGTAAACAAGGGGGGGGGGGAACCCGGCCATGGCTGTCATGGACGTCACAAACCGGGGGGCGCCGAAGTCTTAAGAGCTGGTGCTTTTCGCACAGTAAACACCTCAACAAATTCAACATGCGCAGGCACTCGCAGAGGTGTTAGAAACGATACATCGTGAGGCGCTGAACAAGGGACAGACCGCTACATCAAGGCCTCCGGACAGGGCCGCACACAGGGTCGTGCTAGGGACGGAAGCCTCTACGGGGAGGTTACTCCATCGCGAGATGGAGCGGCATAGCTTGTCGATCCCACATCGACGTAAAACATTCAGAGGACACCATCAGAAAAATGCCGCCACTTTTCTAAGATGTGCTTCTTACGCTCGCTTTTAAGCAATTATTCCATTCGGCATGAAATGATTGCTTGATCCGTGTACGGAAGCCACTTAGAGAAAAACTTCCACCAACCACCACCCCTATATTTCTCCTCTTTTTTGATTACTACTCTGGAGACCGAATTTTTGCCTTTGTACACGCGTCGATTCTGTAATTCCACTAGAATTCGCAGTATTCGAACGGTAATTCTGGCGAGAGCGTTAGGTGCCTCAGTCCAAATAAATACCAGGTTTGCTTGGCAGCAATAATTCAATTATGTTGTACTGCGGCTGATGGCGTAATATGGGCTGCTAGCTTGCTATTCAATAGGCTGTTGCTTAGATTCTTAAACCTCGGCCACGTTCACTTTTTGCCGCTTCTATTTGTAGCGCTATATTAAAGTCACTGAAGTTACCGGTTCTTTATTAAGTACTGATTAGTAGACTAGTGATTCAGTCTGCCCAATACCTGCGAGTAAGGTTAAAACACCTTCACACAGGAATTCGCCATTTCGTGGCCGCGCTTATTCCGCCACGGAGTTGCATTTGTGTAAGTTTGGCTTCCCTGAATACCCTTTTCTCGTTGGAGCCCATTTTGATGCTGCACCGGTGCCATGTTCACCAGCGCCTTGGCTCCGGCTGGACGACTTTGGGGAGCACGGCTGTCAGGGCAGGCATTCTACGCCCCCACATGTTTTGCGCCGCGGGCGCGCGAGGCTCGACGCGGCTGTGCGCGACAGACCGGAACAAGACGTGACTTTGCGCGAGGCACGTCCCATGCAACAGTCCAGGTTCACAGCTCGGTCTCGGTGGTCCGACTGTGTGGTCGCAGGACACCGTGAATGCTAAACAAAGTTGCTGTTTAGGAACGTGGGGAGCGGCCGCACAACCAACCGGTACGCTTGGCGTGGGCGCCCTTGCCGGCGGCGGGTCGTAAGCCATAAGGAAATCGTGCAGAAAAGACTGGCTGGTAAATTATCTAGATTGAGCAGAACCGTAAGCAAACATTTGCAGCGGTGGCACAGCACAGCAACCTGTTCTGACCAAACATGCAGCACGTCTTGTATGGTGCAGGGCACCATCGAATTTTTTTCAAGTCTGCCCATTTTGGCGTGCCCACCTCGGTTGGTTCAATGTTCCTTCACATGCATACTAATGCGAATCACGTTTTACACAGCTACTTATGCGTTTCTGGTGTCGTGTTTCTTTACATGCATGCTAATGCGTCTAAAAGCATCACAGGGGCGGGGTACGTAGCTTGCCGCCCCCCCCCCCCCTAACGAATACGACCCTAATTTCAGTATCATGTCGAGGCCTTTCACGGAGCAATGAATTGTCAACTGGCGTATTTCTGTGCAGCTATATGGTCCCCATTTTATTGGAAGAAGGGTATTAAGATATTGTTCAAGAGCTTAAATATCTGACAACTTAGGGAGCACTTTGATTTCACGCCAAACAAACTGCCTTTCATTGCTTAGTTACTTTATATTATTATGTCGTTAAAAGCAAAATGGCATTGAATGATTCCATCCCTTTGAACTCCGCATTCGTCGTTCCGGGGCGAAGACTCGCCACCAACAGACGAGCCACGCTGCTCATTGCCAGCTGCATCCTCGGCCCGTACACGTAGTTCAACTAGAAAAACCACAACTGTTCATAGATTGGAGCGGCCAGTGAGTTGCACTCTATCTACGGGTCATTAGAGTTCACAAATACCGTTTGTTTTAGAATATTGTTGAACCATGCACGACTAAGCTACCACGCGACTAATACCGTGTTAAACTATTTTCTACCCGTCTACAGTGTGAGACGGCCGATAACCTGCTGTCAGATGTTGCAGCCGTGCAACTGTCACGATTACTCAGGCGGCGCTGTCCACCACAGGTGGCTCTCCATTCGCTCCAATGCATGTCGCACACGTGCTGGTACACTCATGGCCTCATTCAGTGCCGTGCCTTCCCGGCAAACTCCTGCTGATCACTGCGACAACGCATGCCTGGGTTGACACATACCGCTGATAGAAGGTTCGGCTCCTCCTTCACGCACGCATGCACACACACACGCACGCACGCACGCACGCCGCTGGCTGTTGTTACCTTCCAGCTGTTCCGTTGGCTGTTTTGGCGATTGATGGACGGAGTTTCGGTGAACAATTTGTTACAGGTTTTGGTGATTGCACGGCCCCTTCCCCACCCCCCCCCCCTCCAACAGGTGTATTGTCAGGCGTTCGCTAACAAGGACATAGCTATAGCATTAGTGCTCACTGTAACGAACCTTGCCCAATTAAATGTTCACTGAAAGCGGTAATTAGTTTTGCTATTCCTTACGCGTTCCGGGGCCACCTTAGGGGAAAGTTGGAGCTTCATCCGGCATCCTGTGGTCATTATGTTTGAATTCACGCGCGCCGGGTGGCCGGCTGGATACCGTTTGCTCGGGTGGGTGGGGGTGGGGGGTCAGTTCGACTTCCCCCGATGAGATCTCGGGAACTAAGAGAGATAGGGACACCCAATTTACAGGGTGTCTTGACATGTATGTAAACTCACTTTCGATGTTTCAGGTTCCAAGGTCAAGACCTTCGGGTTAAATGAGGTCAGCCAAGGTCAAATTCCATGTTGGTCTCCGAATTTCTCCCAAAACCTACGTACCCGCTTATAAGCAAAAGGTCACATGCTCATTTAAAGTCATTGACCTTGTCGGACCTTTTGAAGGTCATGGTGACCAAAATCATACAAGCTGCTCTGATTTTTGCATTCAAACAAGCGACAAAGATTACGCTAGGCAGTATGTTCCAAAAACAAAATGTTCACCCGGGCCATTTTAGGTCAATGACCTATTCTGACCTCTAAGAAGTCCACGGAAGATGTATCATGCGGTTACTGCTAGCAATGAATTCAAAATGAGCACCAGAAACTATCCCATACAGCGAGCCCTAGGGTAATAAAACGGGTTGGTTTTGACCTTGGTCCGACTTTCGTACTTGACCTTAGGTTAATGCAATTGTCTCATTCAAAAGTTGTGTCGCCTAAGAAAGCAGCTCAAAGATGTATGGCCCCGTCTAACACTCCGTCGTTGCATCAGATCAAACGACTCCCTAGAAATTGACTTGGCTGAAACCATGGCCTGATTTTGACCTGACATGGGTCAGCGACCTTGCAGGTAACATTTCTATTTTTGGTGCCAAACGACCCGTTATTCAATTGTCTACAGCTATGCAAAATTTGGAGCGGCTACGTCGTGCCGTTCGGAAACCGTTCCGGAAAAACCCTCGGGGGTCAATTTGACCCCCACCCGAGCGCGCGTTAATTTAGCTTCGTTCTTTTACCTTGATGGGAATTCAACGACTCACTATCAAATCAAGCTTTCGGACTGCAATGGAGAGGTGCTCCGTCGTTTGCAGGTTAAAAGGATATTATTTAATAGCACGCAATCTTTCCCTAAGTCAATCTCATGTTGTGGGATAGTTGTTTATCACTTTTTATGCTCACGAAGGACAAACTTTCATAAAATTAACTGGCTAGCATTAGCTGGCACGGAGCCATTCAACAGACATTTGCGCGCGCATTGGGTGCGAAACAACGATTTAATAATATGCACGCATGTGACGGTCCTAGTGATAACGCATGCATTTTCTACACCACAGTTGCAGCAAGCTCATCCTCACTGTTATTTTTACGGCGCATTTTATGTACATAATTGAAGCAGTTTGCGTTTAGCCTCAATCCCATACAAGTATTGGTCAATGCGAATCGGTTATTATGAGTTATTAAACATAAGTGCGCATCGTTGAGCATTATGGATTATGCTTGTTTTATTGATTACAATGGTTGGTGCCATCACATGGAAATGAGTTTAAAAATGTTGTACGATGCCAAATTCAGACCAAAATTTCTGACGAGACACACTCAAGCCAGACAAAAATCGTAGCTTCAATGAAGCACTGTTTTACTCGGGAGGGGGGGGGGGGGCTGTGCTCTATATCCAGGAATTAAAAATACAAATGTGACAAGTTGTGCAATTTGGTTGAATGCTTGGCCTCCAAACCCCATAACTGAATTCTTTAGTGTAGCCGGATATTTACCGCAGCATACGCACCACACATATGTTCGTCGTGCGGAGCAGTGCACACACCATCACAAGAGCATACCTCCCCTCGCGATATATATCGTGTTTGCTCTCACCACCAACTAAGCAGGAAAAATGTGCAACAAACTTTACACATCTATGGCCATAAGCAAAGGTTTGAGAGGTTTAGCTGATAGGCCTCGGAGCACAGAAATGACTGAAGTCCTTCATGGCTAACCTCGTTCTCGTCCCCACAACCAAATTTACGTTTCGCCGCTCATGGGCGCTTTATAGAGGAGTGCCTTGGGCGCCCTAAGGCGTGCTCCGAAGGGGCGCTTAAACTTTCCCATCAGAAGAGGCGCGTGCCTCTAGTGTCCCCCCCCCCCCCTCCTCTAGATTCGCCCCTGCATGGCTACTATGCTGCGTACCGCTCGCCCTGACAGAAGGAGGGCGATGCGACCCTCCTAAGTTTTTGAGGATACCTCTCTGGCATAATTCGCAGCCGCGTCAAAATTTGCAGTAACGTACAAGGCATGTATTGCGTGTGTTTTGACACAAGCAAAGTGTCCCTAGCTTCTCTGGATTCGGAACAGCGGCGGCGGTTTTTTAGGAGCACTGCACGGCGATCTACGGCCTGCGCGGGCGGCAGGCGGCCATCGACAGCGCTGCGGAACACAGCGGTGGGGCGACATTCCTGCGTGAACGGGGCAATACGTGTTGACGATATGGTCCAAGCATATTAAACTATGCGCTATCGTACTCAAAACTGGGCAAGGCACGCGCCTGTTAAAACTTTATGTAACTATGAGGCGTAGCATCGCATGTATAGAGTTGTTTACCTAGAAAGTGTAATTTTCGGAAAAATTTACCTTCGGGCTGACTTTTTTGGATTAATTTTTGACCTAGCCACGTACAAATTAATGCTAATCTCCCGACCTCGTTCGTATCAATCCACTGGTGGTTTCTACTGAGCCCGATCTGTCTTAGTATGGAAACGCCAGGGGGTCGCATCGACTCCCTCCCGCTGTTAGTTCGCTCCATGAAAACGGCGAATCAGGGCAAGGATGGAACTGAATATTTTTTCGATAACATGAAAATAGAATTTGAACATATGGACTGTCTTTCATCAAGTCGAGGAAACATTGGGGAAGGGGGTAGGGCGTCGGGGCCCCGTTCGGCCACGTAATCATTTACAAAAATTTACATCTCTGGCGGGAGTCAAACGATTCAAGATTGTTTTTTGTCGCTCAATTGATTTGTCAGGAAGATCGGTCAATTTGTTTGGGAGATACCCTGCAGAGGGTTCCAGTAAGCAGTCAGTGGAAGCTTTTGACATGTGTTATCCCACGAAAGACATGAATAAATGAGCCCATTGGCTGTCATAGCCGGTGGATGTCACGCATGCGAGCATGCTGATACCCTGCAGAGGGTTCCAGAAAGCAGTCAGTGGAAGCTTTGGACATGTGTTATCCCATGAAAGACATGAATAAATGAGCCCATTGGCTGTCATAGCCGGTGGATGTCACGCGTGCGAGCATGGAGCCTTAATGTGATACAGCCGCGCGGGTCTGGATGATAAAACAAGGCATCTATCAGAGCATACCTGCGACAGGCTCGGGTGAGGGCTATGGAATGTGCAAAATGAGACAGCCGCGTGGGACCTCGGGTGAGGGCTATGGAATGTGCAAAATAAGACAGCCGCCTTGGACCTCGGGCGAGGGCTTTGGAATGTGCAAAATAAGACAGCCGCCTTGGACCTCGGGCGAGGGCAATGGAATGTGCAAAATAAGACAGTCCCGTGGGACCTCGTGTGAGGGCTATGGAATCTGCAAAATAAGACAGCCGCGCGGACCTGCACTTGTAGCTTCCTAATGCCTTAACCCGACCAAACGTCATAGCAATTACGCCATAATGCGAAAGTTAATCAACATACGGGTTTTGAAAAACTGGTTCGTCTACTTATAGCGGTTTGAAACTGTTTACCGAAACTTTGAGGCGGCCCACTCTAAGCCACCCTACAAGCGGTCGCGGATAAACAATGAGTGGTGAACATAGCAACAGGCCAAATAGCTAATCCCTGGGAAGACTAGATTTTACCAGACACATTCAAGTGTTGCTAGCTGGGTTCAGCAGGAACGAATTTTGAGTTGTCCTCTGTGCAGGCGTGCTGCGGATGAAAAGCTACGTTATTTCTCACCTTTCCAGACCGTCTCGTCCTGAATATTGTTTTCCATATGTTCCAGGTGTAAGCGCACTGGCCAGTCATGATGGCCAGAAGGCTGCTGCTGCTGGCTCTGCTGTGCCTCTGCTTTTACATGCTAGTCCTGTTGCGATCGCTGTCCAGCGCTGTGGATGGTCGTCGTAGAGAAGCGCCATCTGCACACTTCGAATACAACAAGGCGGCGTCACGACAACAGCCAGATCACCACCAAACAGCGGCACCGAAAGACGCCGGCCCGCACCTGGCAACGCCACCTATAACTCAGAGCCAGCACAGAGTACCAGCACCTGTCGGTCAGATCCTTCGGTCGGTAGCGCCACCTATGGCCGCTGACCGCTCGCCCGAGGCTGGCCCGCTCCAGTTGTCCGCACGACAGCAAGGTTCGGGGGCCCAACGGCCTTCTGAGTCGGCGACGCCGTCCGCACATGAGCTGTCGCTAGCCGCGCAGGCGGCGGGTCTCCAGAACACTGCGCAGCCGCCGAGCATGCCGGCGGCCGCGCCGAAGCTCAAGCACATCCTCTACTGGAACGAGTTCTACGGCTCCATGGAGTTCACGTGGGGCGCTGGTCAGCGGCCGTTCATCGACAACGGATGCGAGGTCAACACCTGCTTCGGCACCAACGACCGCGAGCTGATGCCCGTGGACGAGTATGACGCCATCCTGTTCCACGTGCAGACGCTGCCGTTCTTCGACTGGCCGCGCTCGCGCCAGCCGCACCAGCGCTACGTGTTCGTCACGCTCGAGTCGGCCCAGTACCTGACCATATGGCTGCAGGCCTACGAGAGTCTCTTCAACGTGACGCTGACCTACCGGCGCGACTCGGACTTCCCGTACCCGTACGGAGCCCTGGTGCCGGTGCTGCCGGAGCCGCCCACCATTCGCAGGAACTACGCTCTCGGCAAGACGAAGCTGGTCGCCTGGTTCGTGTCGCACTGCCAGACAATGAGCAGCCGCGAGTGGTACGTACACATGCTGCGGAAGTACATCCCGGTGGATATATACGGTGCCTGCGGGACTCTCCAGTGCCCGCGCTCCGCCAATCAAACCTGTCACAATACGCTGCTTAACAAGGACTACAAGTTCTACTTGTCGTTCGAGAACAGCATCTGCAACGATTACGTCACAGAGAAGCTGTTCGACACACTGAAGTATGACGTGGTGCCGATCGTGCTCGGAGGCTCCAACTACTCCAGCTACGCCCCACCGGGATCGTATATAGAGGCGATGAAGTACAGCCCGAAAGAGCTGGCTGAGTACTTGCTAGAGCTGGACAAGAATGATGCACAGTACAACAAATATTTTGAGTGGAAGGGAAAGTACCGAATAGCTCCTAAAGACGATTTTAAGAAGTCATCATTCTGCGATCTGTGCAAATATTTGCACAGCAACGAAACGAAAGTGTATCACCATCTGAAGGACTGGTGGACAAAAGGACAGTGCAAAAAATTGAAACGGTCACGCTGAAGAAACTTTCCAGCCATGATGTCCTGAAATTAGGTTTGGGAAATTGGGTTTAGGGTTTTGGCAAAATGGGGTTTGCCCTGAATCTGATATCGGCACCGAGCTCTTCAAGCTGTGTATTGTTATGCTTTGAAGTAGCAGAAATCGTGATTGTGTACATCATATGCTTGAAATTAATAAGTTATGTGGTTGAAACGGTCTTGCGCCACTGCCAATACTACCCCCTGCGTGCGGTGTCCTCAATAGTTTATCGAAACCAACAAAGAATCGTCAGGCGCCATACAAATATAACAAAACCTTCAAGGCTGTGGGGAAATTTGTTCTCCCCATCATTTGTATCAGGCACCGCTTATGTGTATCTTATTAGCACACGATTCTGAAGCATTGTGATAGATGCCTTGCCGGAGTAACTTAGGATCGTAATATGTACAACGCTAGCTTGTGGGAAATTCTGCAACTTTTTCAACTGCATATATATATATATATATATATATATATATATATATATATATATACTCGCCAGTATATTTAATAAACTGCAACTCGCTCTTGGCGTGATGGGCTACTGGCATTTCTCATCGGAACTTCCCGTTGGGTTGTTGGTGCCTTCTGCGTTTTTTATGGGGTTTTCCATGTGTCTGAAGAGCCTTCTTTGGATCGTCTGGGACTTCCTGTTGATCGAAAGGACCTGATGCTGCCCATCTAGTGCCTACTACGAATATATGTGGGCACCACTACTCCGAAGGTATCCTCTTTTTGGCTATTTCGTAGCTTCAAAAGGCAGCGTCGTTACCCGCTGCTTTGTTACTGTGCAGAAAATAAAACGGGCGTTACTTGTAGTCTGTTAATCCGTCATCTCTTAAAGCATTTACAAAAACTGCAATAACGTGCCGTCACATTTCCTTAGTTGCATCCAAAGAAGCCTTGGTTGGTTTGGGAATGTACATCGGAGATGCTGTCCACTGGCGGTGTCAAGAGCCACTGCAGCCGATGGACTGACTCACTTTTATTTTGTCGATCTCCCGTGAGGTGGCCGTGGTGGTGCTGGAGGCGCTTGCTGAATCAAATGTCGTTATGCACTCATGTTTTGACCTGTTTTCGTGGTGTTCTTGTATGTTTGTTCGTGAGTTTAAGGTGTTTTCTTGCATACACCCACTCGCTTATGGCACTGTGTTTTACATTCACTCGCAAGTCGTATTTCCGTAATAGCTGGCGCCACTGCCCAACTCTCTGTAGTATGTAGCAAAACACGTCATTCATGATCGAAACTTGCACTGAGTTTATAACATCCATCGAGAGCCAAGAGAACTTCATTGTATCATGAAACCATGCTTATGTTCGCCAGGCATGAATGACTCGACGATTTTATTTGTTCTGGCATTGGAAATTGCGTGGCCAATGAGATGGCAGAGTTTGAAAGACATTTCGGTGGCATCTTGCATGCCTGAGTATCCTTGAAATAGTTTTGCACGAAAGTCTGAAAAAACTTTGCGGGCAGCTCGGAAACTAGAGGGTTTAAGGTCTTCAGAAAGGCAGGGCTGTGAGCTGCATCGAACATTCTTCGAGATGACTTTTGCAGTTCAAAATCCCATACGAATGTGGATGACTCTCTTTCACCGAGCCTACCATCGCAAATAAGCATGCGCACAATTCCATTGCTCATCCGTTTCCGGTCGCGTCTCGTAAGGTTGCATTCTCACAATAACTCGAAAAGTTTGGTCCACCTTCGAATCACCTATATCCATCACGCCACGGCAGAATCATCACGACAGAATCATAATAGAACCATCCGACACGTAGCTGGCGGTTTTAACGTCGGGCTCTCTCAGGACCGTTGCCAGCCGCCTGCGGCTTGCCCTCCCATGTACGGCCGGCAGTCTGCTGCACCGCGCCCTTCGCAGCCCAGGCCCCACCTACGGCGTCCACAGAAGGTCCGCCCGGACGCCGCGCCCAGCGGCCCACGCAGGTGACCTGGCCACGGCTCCGAGGGAACTTTCCGGCTGTTACATGAAGAAATGGCCGCCTGCTGGGCGCCGTTGGGTGGCTCATATTATGTATTAATTACCATATTGAGATGCGTGCTGTGATTTTAGACATAGTGTGTATTCTTCAAATGGTAGTTCTACGTGAAATAAATACCAAACAGTGAATACATGCGTGGCGATATGCTATGAATGCCCGCATAAATGGGTCTGTATGTCGTCCAGTTAATCAGACCACTAAAGAGGTCACCGTACAGATGCAGGGGGCTGGTACCATTGCCGCCTGGCTTGTGGTGTTTGTAAGAGTTACGCTCTCCGTGGCCGTATTCAGGAGAGGCTGCCGGATGATTTCAGAGCCGATGCTATCGGAGCCGCGCGCGTGGTCCGGGGCGGCCCCGCCCTGCCGCCGCCCGCTCCTGATCGTATCTCGTCTCATTACGTCCACCGGGCAATGGCCAACACACCACACGTCCCTCCCACTGTGCATCCTGTCTAATTAACTGCAGATGCTATCAATAGACTCCCACTTCATGGTCAGGAATATATTTAGGAGTGCAATGTATTTCCTAGACGTGGCCAGATCGTCAGTCTAGCAGTTCTGTAGATGCAACGGCTAATTTAATCCATGCTGTTGGTGGTTGGTGCCAAGATGGACGGACCTCACTACTTGCATATGCTTTTTGGCTCAGCTGGAATGGCAGCAGGCCGTGCTAGGTTAACCATTTTTTACCACAAAACAGCGATCATCAAATTTCCCTATTTCTCAACTTATGTCGGGTTTGAGAAAGATCAAATGATTACGTGTTGCAAACACTTCGCACTATAATCGACGGACTTCGTCACTTTTATATCTTTTTTTCTTTATTCAGCGGGATTAGTGTTAGCTAGCTTTTGTTCCCGGGCAAATGTCAACGCAATTTCGCCTTATGCCACAGTGGTCTTAAAGGTGTTCCACATTTTTATAGAGTTTTGAACTGGGATAGCTATTTGAGCTTCAATGCAGCTCAAAACTATTCCATTTTATGACATAAAACTCTCTCGTTTCTGGGCTTGACGCACGCGGGCTTGTGCGGTCTGTTTCACACAGCCTATTTGAAGGTGACCCATGCATGCATGGCGTCATAGAAACGTCACACGAATACCGTCCCCTCAATGGCCATGTATTGCTCAAGGTCAAGGGAAATATACCAACGAAGTATTTGTATCTGTGGTACGTCAGCACGACCTATGGCAGCAACGGGCAGTACTTGACATTTATTTAGTGTAATGCGTTGAGCGCGAGTGTCGAGCACGAACCACGTTTTGTGCTACATAGTACAGTAATTCGGAATTGGTACAAGTTATGACAGAATGAGACTGGGAATCGAATGACTTCAGAATAGCGCCGTATCCAAGTTTGTGAGTGCAAGTAAGAAAAGTAGAATCACGGACAAATATACGAAATCACCACGATAAATAGTCAAAACACGCGCACATATTGATATCCGGGCTCAGAAAGCACGCGCCACCTCTCTGCAGGTTGGAGTGAGTCACAAGTGAGTCAGCCCGTACGATGACGCATCGAGAAAATATTTACGAGATAGTGAAATTATCTTTGCTAGAGCAGTCTTTTGCAATTAAGAGCTCACTAACAGTTGCAAGTGAGTGTGTCCTTCATATATCATGCTTGAACCAATATGTTCAAATGTGGAACGGTGTCTAATGTGAGCAGACTCCGAGAAACAACTCTGTCGTTTTGGGAATATTGGACGTGGCAATAACAGTAATGCTTCACGCCAATTGACTTTCCAGATAACCCGAAACACACGTGACCGTTGTGAGCTCACATTGGAGAGGTACCAACTGGCACGTGGATTGTGACTGTCGAAAGGCTATCCGGCTCTTAATATCTAAACACGCAGCTTCGATACCCACGACCCAGCGGGAGAACACAAGACGTCAGAAGCCTAGCGCCTAAACCACCACCACCATCGTGCCTTCGCAGCCTGCGATTACGATTCGTAAGCAAGCGTCAGGCCTGAGGCCTGACCCGAGTCCGATCGCATCGACCCGTCCCTTCCCGGTCTGAGCGAGGACCCACGCCGCGGACGTGGTCCGAGCGAGGCGAGGAGGCGGCGGCCTCTGTCGGACGCGCTGGACAGTCGTGACCGCTGGCCACGGCGGAGGCGGCACCCGGCGGGCCGACGTCACGTCACGGCACGTCACGTACGGGGCAACAGATGGCACCTGCAGCCACATCTGGACGCATTTCCCTGTCAGGTACCACCTCCATGCCATACTCACCTGGGTACTATCTAGGCACTATCCTGGGTACCATCTCATATCAGGGTACCATCTCACCGTCTGACCCGGGCCACAACTTCCTCTCACGTCCAGATACCATCTCGCTGCAGCACTCGGGTTACTCCTCATCAAACCTGCGACACCGTCTAACCTCGCCACAACGCTCCAATGTTTATCAGATGGCGTGAGCGGCGGTTTGCATTCGTACCTTCGCCTTCGTCAAATACGTATTTCATCTAATTGTTGGCTGGCGTGCCGCGCTTGTCCACGGCGATAACCATTGTCACAGATGTGGCCAAGGCCGGTAGACGCACACCAGTGGGTGTCTGGGCCGCGACCTGAGCAGGCTGGTGGCCGCTTGGGGCCGGGTTTGATACGAAGCAGCGGTTGTCTAAAGCCGGAGTCTGTCAGGGCACGTGCCTGAACGGCAGTCTGAAGTCGGGACCGGCACATGGTAGCGGCAGTCTGGAGCCGGGGCTAACACATCCAGCGTCTGTCCGGGTCCAAGACTGGCACGTACCAGTGGCAGTCTGGGGACCGTGACTGACACGCACGAGCGGCAGTCTGGGGAACGTGACTGACACGTACCAGTGGCAGTCTGGGGAACGGGACTGACACGTATCAGCGGCCAGTCTAGAGAACGTGACTGACACGTACCAGCGGCAATCTGGGGAACGGGACTGACACGTACCAGCGGCCAGTCTGCAGAACGTGACTGATTTGTACCAGCGACAGTCAGGGGAACGTGACTGATTTGTGCCAGCGGCAGTCTGGGGAACGGGACTGACACGTATCAGCGGCAGTCTAGAGAACGTGACTGACACGTACCAGCGGCAATCTGGGGAACGGGCCTGACACGTACCAGCGGCAGTCTGCAGAACGTGACTGATTTGTACCAGCGACAGTCAGGGGAACGTGACTGATTTGTGCCAGCGGCAGTCTGGGGAACGGGATTGACATGTAACAGTGGCAGACTGGAGATTGGGCTTGTCACATACCAGCGTCTGTTTGGGACTGGGACTGACACGTATCAGCGGCTGTCTGGAGCCGGGACTGACACATGCCAGCGGCCGTCTGGGACCGGGACTGACACGTATCAGCGGCTGTCTGGAGCCGGGACTGACACATGCCAGCGGCCGTCTGGGACCGGTACTGGCACATCCAGCGGTGGTCTGGAGCCGGGACTGACACATTGAGGCGCAGTCTGGAGCCGCGACTGA